AAATGCCTTTTATTATGTTTTTATTTCTTATTGTCAGAAAAGGATGTGTTTAATATTTCTGCTCTTTAGCATCGTTTTGTGAGGTTTTTATGCCTTAGTACATGTTATGCCCCAGCATTATAAAAGTGCTGTGTACTACTGAGAAATATGTATATTCTCAGTAACAGCCAGAGATTTGTAATATTCAACTTTTCTGTCCAGGTCCTTAAGTTCTTTTTTATTTCTTTTTGTTACATTTGCCCAGTTTTGAAAGTGGCACATTTTGGTCAACTATTACAGTTTTGCTGTCCCTTTCTCCCTGTAATTCAATTAGTTTTTCCTTCAAGTACTTAGATGCTATGTCATTCAATATCAAATAAGTATTGATATTCTTAAATACTGATAAATACTTAAAGTATAAATAAGAATTGATATCCTTTCATTTATGCTGACTTTAATCCTAATGCAGTTTACCTGTCATTGCTTATTAACCATATTTATTTTTACTGTGTCCTTGTTTGAGATCATGAGTGCTATCCTTGCTTTTAAAATTTTGCCTAAAGCATAAGAAATTCTGCTCTAATCCTTTGTTTAAACTCTTTGTGAATCTTCACATTTCAAGTCTATTTCTTGTAAACAAAATACTGTCAGATTCTGATTACTAATCAGTTTTGCCACCCTACTCTGTTTTATGTGTGGCCCATCCTTATTCCAACTCCCATTTTTAGTCAGGTTCCCAGAACTAGGCTGGCTACATCTCCTCAAGTTTCTAGGCATTCATCCTGAGAGATCAGGGGTGACTCTCTAATACCATTAACTCAAGCCCCCACTGGTATATATGTCCCAAAATTATTAGTTGGGAATAAATGTAGTCAGCCAATCTTAATATTTTTTCTTAATAGTTTTCAGAAAGGGATATTTACTAAAGTGGTACACTAAGATCAGCTGGGTACAAAACATCCCACCAAAATCTGACATACCTTCCTACAAGTAAAAGAATTGACGAGAAAGTGGGTTCAAGCTTACAGAGCACATGTGGCAAAGGAAAGACCTCCTGGTTCCTGCAAGTTATTTCCTCCCATTTGTGGGATGATCAAGAAATTTCCCTCAGGCTTGAAACAGTTTCTTTGCTGACTTCTTTGTAGGGTCATGATAATCCAGTGCTTTCAATGACAGCACTGCTAATAGCTGTTTAGGACATTAATGGGAACGTGGGAAACCCAGCATCTCTGGACTCTGAAACTTGAAAGATTTTCCTTTAGTCAAAGGAGGGTTTGAGTGGAGACCTGGTCAAGGCCAAAGCTGAGGCCTCTCCTTACCACCTGACCGTTGGATGGAGACAGCTCAGTACCCTAAACTCAAGAAACATGGGAATAAGAGAGGCCCCAAAACCACCAGAACTGCTTGTAGTAATGCGGTTCAGGGGTCCTGGGACCCCAAAATCACAACACATGGGTCCTGCCCCAAAGAATTCCACCCAAGCCTTCTTTCAGCCAAAGACAAGGTTTATTAGAACACTGTCATATTGGGCAGACTCTTAAGGAGTCTGGACATGAGTAAGTAGTTGCTAGATTATAAGAATCTAAGCAGTGGCCAGATTTTAGGAATCTAAGCAGTAGCTAGATTATAAGAATCTCAGCCATGGCTAGATTATAAGAATCCCAGCAGTGGCTAGATTTTAGGAATCTGAGAATCTTAATGACAAGATAGACCTTATACACAGAAAGACTACAGGAGGGATCTAGGAATGGCCAAGTAGTCTATGAGGTAATAGAACTCCAGGGCTGGCCCAGGGAGAATGAAGGGTGGGAAGTGGCCTGGGGCCATAGGGAGGTATGGAATTACAGCCTCAGGAGAATGCCAGAGATTTGGCCATGTGGGAAAGTCCAAGTTTTCTTTTTGGGGTCTAGTTCCCATCCTCATCAGTAGTACAGTCTCAAAAATCACTGTGGAAAAGGGCCCCATTTTCTTCATCACCACAGGCAACAACTACTAACCAAATGACAGGAACAAGCAGATAGGTAAAGAAGCCTTGGATGTGGGAGCCACCTCCTCCCCACCAGAAAAAACCAAAAAAACCTACCAGTCCTGCTGCCAGCCCATCGCTCAAAGCCATCATTCAGGAAAGGGGCTTCTGCGCAAAGGGGGTCAGCCATCCCAACCAACCTTCTCCCACAGCAAACTTCCACGCCTAGCTGTTACATTGAGGCACCCTGAGGAAGAAACAGACAGCAGCGTGTGCCAGTCAAACTGATGGGGTTGGGATCTGGATCACAGAAAGGAAAAACCCTGGACTTCCCTACATGGCCAAATCTCTGGCATTCACCTGAGGCTGTAATTCCATACCTCCCTATGGCCCCAGGCCACTTCTCCATTCTCCTAGTCCAGGTCTCTGGAATTCTATTACCTCATAGACTACTTGGCCACTCCTTGATCCCTCCCATAGTCTTAATGTATATAAAGCCCATCTTGTCTCCATTAAACTGCTCAAATTCCTAAAATCTAGCCACTGGTAAGATTCTTATAACCTAGCCACTGCTTACCCATGTTCAGACTCCTTAAGAGTCTGCCCTATATGGCAGATGTTCTAATAAACCCTGTCTTTGGCTGAAAGAAGGCTTGGGTCGAATTCTTTCAGACAGGACCTGCATGTTGTGATTTTGGGGTCCCAGCATCAAAATCACTATCAGCACCTTGACCACCATCTGTTCTCATAACCTGATGGAGATAGCCGAGGACCTTGGGCCCAAAAGATCTGGAAGTAGCATTGCTTCCAGTAAAGTCCCCTCAACCATCCACTTGGAAAGCAACTCCTGTGATAATAGAAAACTAGTTACTCTTTCTGGTGCTACTGAAGACCAAGAAAAGAAAGTTCCTGTCACCAAAATCCTTGGCATTGTCAAATGATTTTGAGGTTTAGAGGCTAGAGGTGCTAGGAACCCCAAAATCAAAACACGCAGGTACTACATGAAAGAATTCGACCCAAGCCTTCTTTCAGTCAAAAACAAGGTTTATTAGAACATTTCTCATATTGGGCAAACTTTTAAGGAATCTAAGCATTTGTATCACTAATGCAAGCAGGCCAGATTTTAAAAATCTGAGCATTTGGCTAGATTTTAAGAATTCTGAGCACCTTAATAGAGACAAGATGGAGCTTATATACAGAAATACTGTGGGAAGGATCTAGGAGTGGCTGTAGTTTGGGGTGAGTAGAGGAGGAAGGGGGTGTCTAAGGAGGATCTGGATGGGAGTGGTCAGTAAGCTGGGGTGAACAGACCTCCAGGGACCTGGATCATGTGGCCAAGGGAGAATGGAGTGTAAAATAGGATTACAGGTGGGAAGTAGCCAGGGGCAACTGGAAGGTATTGGGTGATTGGGCATAGCCACAATGAAAGGCTAGTTGATAGGATTATAGCCTCAGGTGAACACCAGAGATTTGGCCAGGTGGGAAAGTCCAAGATTTTTCCTTTAGGGGTTCAGGTCCCATCCCCATTAGTTTAACATCAGAAACTGATATAATTTTGTCACTGTAAATGACATTTTAAAAAGAGGCATTACCTTCCCGCTTTGCCACCACACCACATCCTAAGGTACATGGGACTTTTCCATTTGACTTGCAGCTGACACTTTACATAAGTTTTTTCTTCCCTTAGAATGTGAACTTCTTTCCAGTAGAATTTTTTTCATTTGTATCCTCAGCCTTAGCACCGCAGTTTGCATATATAGTAGTACTTAATAAATGCCTTATTCATTCATTCAATAGTATTTTCCCACGCTTCTCTGTATTAATCGTATTCATTACTCTTTATGGCACAGAAATAATCCTCCTGACCTGCAGTGTTAGCTATTCCTCAATTAGCACCTACTTTTGTTTCCAGTTCAAAAGTCCTGCCCCTGACACTTTCTGGCCCTGTAACCTTAGCCAAATAACAACACTCCTTTAAGACTCAGTTCTCGCATTTGTACATCAGAAATAATACTTGCAGTGTCCAAAAGGTTGTTGCTAGGCTCAAGTAAGAGCATTTAAAGCTCTATTTAAAGGTCAGTTATTTCTATTACCTCTGTAACCTCATTATAACGAGCATCTCACCAGTACAATTACTCAACTCCAGCCTCCTTAAAACTAGGTGTGCAACTACGTGGAGCAGTGGCCACAGTGCTGAACCTGGAGTCAAGAAAACGAGTTCAAATCCTTCCTCAGCTATGTGAGCCTAGATAAGTCACTTGACCTTTGCCTGCCTCAGTTTCTCCATCGGTACAATGGGGGATAATAGCGCCTTCAGAGTTACTGTGAGAATAAAAATGAGATATTTGTAAAGCGCTACGCAAACCTAAAGCAATATATATCTAGTTATGATTATGAAGCAGAAAAAAAAAACAGCATAAGTTAATAACGGCATGAAAAATCCCCACATTACACGTGCAGAAAAAGCCTCTGGGCCCCCGGGGCGAGGCGGGGAGGAGAGGAGGGGAGGGGAGGTTAGCAGGGGGCGGGGTTAGGGAACCTGTCGCGAGACGCCCGGGGAGATCTAACCCCCCTCCCCGTTCTCGCGTCCCGCCCCTCACCCGCTTGAGCCACGGGCTGTGGAAGAGACCGCGCCTTCCTAATTTGTCATCCCTGACCTCGCGTAAGTAAAAGCTGTTTGCCCTTCGCCTCCCTCGCCTCCCCATCCCCAAGGCTTTCCCTGCTCGCGGTCGGGTGTGGGACGCACGCTGCTGACACTCATGCCGGGACCTGGGCAGTCTCAGAACTGCTGTACTTAGCCTACCCCTCAGACTTTGCCCAGCCCCTTTGGTCCACGTGCTCGGCCCTGCCGGTTCCGCTAAGTGCGCAGGCGCTGTAGCCCCTTTGGTCCACGTGCTCAGCCCTGCGGGGTCCCGCTAAGTGCGCAAGCGCGGTAGCCCCTTCGGCCTACATGCCCACCCTATGAAGGGGTGGGGGGAGGAGGCTGCTGGCGCGCTTCTCCTAGCTCTTCCTGTTTGTGGCGCAAGTGCACCACCCACTTCCGTCCATACTTGGCGCTAACGGGGTGGGAGGGTTTTGGATGTAGTCCCTGCTAATAATGTTCCTAGCCCTAGGCCGGTAAAAGGGACGGGATAACGCGCGTGAGGGAAAGGCAGGACAAATCTCTGCAAGGTGCCAAGGTAGATCTAGGGAGGGCCCTGGAGGAGGGGGCCTTCAGGCTCCATCAGAATTCTGTAAGTGAACGGGGAGGGGGTGAGAGAACGGGGAGTTGCACGATTTGATTGGAGCGCAAGAATGTATTACGGAGCCGCGGTAACTTGGAAAGTTAGGTATTAACCTTGGCAATAGGGGTGCTAGAAGATAATAGCACCTACTTTCCCAGGATTGTTGGTGTGGTTAAGTTGAGATCGCATTCAGTAAAGCACTTTTGCAAATGTTAAAAGTCTATAAATGCTAGTAATTCCTATGAACTATTTTTTGGCAGTAAAGAGGCACTGAAAATTTTTAAGTAGACGAATGATTATCTCATCTATAAAATGGTTATCCAGTGGGCTCTGTGAAAAATAAGGAATGACATGTTGACACAAGGGATCCCAGCAGTAGACTTGTGAATCTATTGTCCCAGGACCAAACTAGCTGAATTTGGAAGTGGCTTCTGGTTGATAGATATAGCAAATTCACTACTAAGACCAGGAGGATTTGTGTCCTTTCTCAGGAGAGAGAGTTTCACCACCATAGAATAGATAATAGATTTAGGGTTGGAAGCACCTATTCGAGATCATCCAATCAAACCCTTTCATTTTACAGAGGACCATATTGATGGATTATGTCTAATCTGTGTGTCTTGCCCAACATCACACAGGTAGAAAACTACAGAACTAGGATTCAGATCCTTGTCTTCTAACTCCAAATGCACTATTCTTCTCACCACACATTCTGATATCTCTTTTAGCACTGAAAAAGCAGTGGGAGATACAAACTATTACAAGACAAGAGGGTATTCCTTTATAATTCTTTTTTTTTTCTTTTTAGGCAGTTGGGGTTAAGTGACTTGCCCAGGGTCACACAGCTAGTAAGTGTCAAGTGTTTGGTCTGAGGCCAGATTTGAACTCAGGTCCTCCAGACTTCAGGGCTAGTGTTCCATCCATTAGGCCACCTAGCTGCCCCAAGGGTATTCCTTTTTAAAAAAAGTTTATTGATCTTTTGTTTAACCTCACTCTCATTGCCAAAAGTTACCATCTTCCTCCAGAACCAATTTTTGTATCAAAGAGGGAGGGAAAACATGTCAGAAAAATTGGTCAACTTAGCAGCTAATTCTAATAGTGTATGCAGTGTTCCACGTCCACAGCCCCATTCTCATGTTCTCTAGAAGCTTAGTTTCATTGAGAAAGTGAAAAACACACAAAAAGTTGCTATGGTGGAAAGAGCTCTGGTTTGGGGTTTAAATCTTGACTTTGTTACTTCGTTACCAGTGGGACCTTGGACAGGTCATTTCCTTATCATTAAAAAGAGGGGGAGTGGATTAGATGCCTTCTAAAGTAGATCGCTTGTAGCTCAGAATCTATGATCCTGTAAAATAGTACAGCTTGACAGGAGCAGAGTGCTCCAGTTGAGAAGGAGTGGGAAATAATGGGCAAAGGAAACTGGGGAGCCAGTGAAGGTGTTTGAGCAAGGAGTAAAGGCAGTGTTTCTTCTTTCCCCCAAAGCATTTAGTAGCATGGATTCACTTGGATGTAGGTGGAAAAGGGACTTGGCTCTCCAACTGTACATTTCTTAAATGGCTACTCCAGCCCTATTCCCAGACCCCGTGCTGTAATGCTAGCACCACTGATTCAACCTCTCTGCTTCTGAAACTTTCCCTTGAGGAACTTGAGGCCCAGTTTTTAAAAGAAGTTATAGTGGGTGGTGAGGGTGGGGAATCAGCTTTATACAATTTTTGCTTTGTTACAGATTTTCAGGTACACCTGTGCAAATGTCCCAGGTGCTTCACTTCTATGTCCATTCTTCCGGTCATGAGGGAGCAGCCTCTGGGCACACTCAGAGGAAACTCAAGGGGAAGCTGACTGAGCTACAGGGTATAGAGACAGAGCTGTGTTATAATGTGAACTGGACAGGTAAAGGATCTGGATGCTTGCTGGGGCTTGGGGGTGGGGTGGGGAGCCTGGGTCAGAATGAAAAGATTATGGACTTAGAACTGGAAGAAATCTTAAAGGTCATCTAGCCCACCCCTCTCATTTTACAGTTGAGGAAACCAAACTAGAGTATGATTCAGGTCAAACAGGTAGGAAGTTGTAGAACTAAATCTTGAACCCAGGTACCCAGATGGTTGAAGAGAAATCATACTATGGGTGCTAGAGATAGCAAGGATTTCTCTAATTCTGGAGAGATCCAACCATACCAATACATAGTCCAGTTAAAAACAGATTTTAGGGCTTTTAAAATTTTTTTGTTTTAAGCACTTGGGGTTAAGTGATTTGCCCAGGGTCACACAGCTAGTAAGTGTCAAGTGTTTGGTCTGAGGCCGGATTTGAACTCAGGTCCTCCTGACTTCAGGGCCAGTGCTCCATCCACTGCACCACCTAACTGCCCCTAAAAAAATTATTTTTGCCAGCATTTATGGTCTCCCTTCCTTGTTGGCCCCTCCAGTTGGTCAACAATAGCAGCAGCAATTCGTTTAGAAGAACAAAAGGTCAAGAATAACCAAGGAATTAATGGGAAAGAAATGCAGAGGTTACTGGCTGTGTGGCTCTGGGCAAGTCACTGAACCCCAAATGCCTCACCAAGAAAAAATGCAAAGGGAGGAGATTTCGAAGTAGTAGATCTTAAACTATATTACATGGGAGTAATTATCAGAACTGTGTGGTACTGGCTAAGAAATAGAAAAGGTGAATGAATGGAGCAGAGTAGACATAGAGCACACAGTAGCGAATGATTATAGTAACTTTGTGTTTGACAGATGTAAAGACTTAAGCTTTTAGGATAAGAATTCACTATTTGATAAAAATTGTTGGGAAAACTGGAAAACAGTATGGCACAAATTGAATACAGATCAATGTTATATCATAAGTAAGTTAGAAAACCGTGGAACATGTTACCTGTCAGGTTTATGGATAGGAAGAATTTATGAAGAAACGAGATAGAGAGTACTGTGAAATGTAAAATAGATAATTTTGATTACATTAAATTAAAAAGGTTTTCCACAAATAAAACCAATGTAGCAGGATTAGAAGGAAAGCAGAAAATGGAGGGAGGGATTTTATAGATAAGTTTCTCAGATAAAGGTCTGATGTCTCATATGTAGAGAACTTTTTCAAATTTATAAGAATATAAACATACCCCAATTGATAAATGGTCAGAAGATATGAACAGGCAGTTTTTGGATGAAGAAATCAAAGTTATATATAGTCATATGAAAAAATGCTCTTTATAGGTTGCCAAAGTAGGTGATACAGCCCCCTGGGTGGGGGGCATTGGAGTGATTGGGGAGAATGGCTTGGGGTAGCCTCTGGTGCAATTGAGGGGCATTAAATAAAAGTGGAACCAATGGAGCATAAGGAAAGAAGAGAAGAGAAGAAAATTTTGAAAAACCGTTCATACATGTTTCATCTGTTGTAACAAAGTTAAAGTTGTAGTGAGTACATTATTTTCTAAATAAACACACAAAACACAAGTTATAACTGATCAAGTCAAGTCCTCACCACAGGTCTTAACAAGCAAGTGTTGGCAGGTGAGCATGTCACATTGTTAGGACTTACTTGGCGGGAATATATGCATGTAATGACTTGTTTACAGTATAATACTATACAGTTACATGATGTAATAGGGCATCATCAAACTTGCAGTGCAGGGAAACTCCCAAAAATTTACAATAAATTATTAAATTTAAGATGTGTCATTTTCAAAAAAAAAAAAATTTGTGTATTTTTTGGAAATGATACAAATTTCAAAAAAAAAGTAAAGGGTTAAAGAAAATAGATTTTTCAGGGGGGCGCTGAGTAATTTTTTTTTAAAGAGGGTGGTAGGCCAAATAAGTTTAGGAACCTTTGCTCTAAATCATTATTAATTAGAGTAATGCAAATTAAAACAGATTTGAAATAATCATCTCACACCTATCAGATTGCCTAAAGTGATAGAAGGGGAAAATGACAAATGTTGGAGGGGATATGGAAAAATTGGGACACTAATACATTGCTGGTGGAACTATGAACTGATCCAATTATTTTGGAAGCAATCTGGAATTATGCCTAAAGAGTTATAACACTGTATATACCCTTTGACTCAGCAATACCCTATTAGGTCTGTTTCCCAAGGTGATAAAGGAAAAGAACCTATATGTTCTAAAATATTTATAGCAGCTCTTTTTGTGATGGCAAAGAACTAACTGGAAATTGAGGGGGTTCCCATCAGCTGGAGAATGGCTAAACAAGGTGTGGCATATGATTATGATGGAATACTGTTGTGCTATAAGAGATGGTGAGCAGGTTGATTTTAGAAAAATATGGAAAGACTTGAATGAAATAATAAAGAGTGAAATGAGCAGAATCAAGAGAATGCTGGATACAGTAACAGCAATATTATTCGAAGAATAACTGAACAACTAAGTTATTCTCAGTATTATAAGTACTCTAATCAACTACAAAGGATCTATGAAGCAAGATCCACCTCCAGAGAAAGAACTGATAAATAGAAGTATGCATAACAGCAGCAATAGCAACAAAAAAAACTAAAAATAGAACTTTCATACAAATAGACATAATCCAGCAAAACAAATTTCCATATTGGCCATATCCAACAATGTATGTCTTACTCATTTTAAGTCTTTCACCTCTCTGGAAAGAGATGGCTAGCATTTTTCATCTTCGATCTTTATCATTGCATTGATCAATGCTCTAAAGTCTTTCACAGGTGTTTTTCTGTGTAATGTTATTGACATTGTGTAAATTGTTCTTCTCCTTTCCTCTGTCAGTTCATAAAGGTCTTTTCCTTTGAAACTAACCATTTTGTCATTTCTTAAGGCACAATGATATTCTGTTCCATTCATACCATAATTTCTTTAGCCATCCCCAAATAGATGGGCAACTCCTTAGTTTCCAGTTTTTGCTTTGTTACTACTACTAAAAGAGTTGCTATAAATATTTTTATACATGGAGGTCCTTTTCCTTTTTCTTTGATCTCTTTAGAGATATAGGCTTAGCAGTGTATAACTGGGTCAAAAGCTATGAATAGGTGGGTAATTTTGGGGCATAGTTGCAAATTTCTTTCCAGAATGGCTAGATCAATTATAGTTCCACCATCAGTTGAACCCAGTGTACCTGATTTCCCATAGCTACTCCACCATTTGTCATTTTCTTCTTTTGTTATCTTTGCCAGTCTGGTGGCTATGACGTGGAATCTTAAAATGCTTTGATTTGCATTTTTCTAGTTATTAGTGATTTGGAGCATTGTTTCATATTGTTGCCTATAGCTTGGATTTCTTCCTTTGAAAATTGCCTGTTCACATCCATTAACCATTTATTGGGGAATGGTTCTTGGTCTTATAAATTTGAATCATGCCCTAGATATAAGATCTTTATTAGAGAAACTTGATGCCAAGATTTTTTCCCTTCTAATTTTAACTGTGTTAGATTTGTTTGTGTAAAAACTTATTAATTTTATATAGTCAGAATTGGCTATTTTAACTTGGGTGGTCCTCTCTGTCATTTGTTTAGTCATGAGCTCTTCATATTCATATCATATTTCTGTCCATAGATCTGAAAGGTAATTTATTGCTTGCTCTTCCAATTTGCCTATGATGTGACTATTTATATCTAAGCCGTATATCCGTTTTGACGTTATCTTGGTATATGGTGGGAGGTGCTGGTCTCTACCTAATTTCTGCCATGCTACTTTTCAGTTTTCCTGGAAGTTTTTGTTAAATAGTGAATTCTTACCCCCATTCTGTAACTTTTTTTTAAGTTGGGAGTTTTATTTGCTTTTTGTATACAATTTCAGTTGCCAACAGAAATGACATTCGCTTTAAAGATCTTTTCTATACAGAACATTTGTGTGAACTTCATACATCACAATTGTTTCTAATAAGCAACTGGGATCATTAGGCAGTGCAAGTTTGGCGTATGATTATAAAACCACATTATCCTTGTAACTCTGTCTGCTGCATTCAGTGGTTTCTCAGGAAGACAGGTTTAATAAAATACAGCTATGCAAACAAAAATAATGCAAAGCATAGTACCAGAAGTACAGATAAAACGGGGACTCGACTAGAGTGTTGAATAGAAAGTTGGAATAGGGGTGACAGTGAAATTGCATAGGTCCTTATACTTGCAGCATTGAGTAGACAGACATTTGGCCCTTGGTAGTTGTCTCTCTTTGGGCTCTGTGCAGGTGCAGAACTGGCCTGCTTTGTTAGAACAGGTTTCTTAATCCTGGAGTTTCCTGTGCCATTGAAATAATAAATCTAATCTCCTTTTATTAATTTTGAAGGGTTGCCCTGAGAAGCTCTTAAAACTGTCTTCCTAGTATATGGTACCTTGATGGGGAATATTTATGTATTTAACTAAGTCTATATATTTAACTATGTTTCTTTCTACAAGTTAAAATAGAGCTTGGTTTTAATGTTTTATATTGTAACATTTAACAATAAAATTCTAACTGTTAAGAATTAAATAAACACAGAATTGGAAATTATGATATTGCATGTATTGAATAAGTGCCAGGGACTAAGGGTCACAATGTCTGCCTGAGACCCTACCTTCTTTACTTCTTTCATAGCTGAGTCCCTTCCAAGCCCCCAGGAGACCAAGAAGCTAGAATGGCTCTTTGGATGTCCCTTAGAGTCAAATGATGTGGCGAGGGAGTCCTGGCTTTTGCCAGGCCCCAATGACTTACTGCTTGAGGTGGGACCCAGGTGAGTTTAGCACTTGTGTAAATGATCTCTTCTGTAAATTATCCTGCCCTCTACCAGCTTTCACTTTTCCTCTGCTTCTGCTGCTTCTACCTCTTGGGATATTTTTTTTTCTGTTTTTCTTTCTCGCATTCCCCCCAGGGAATGTACTCAAACTCCCAGTTCTACCATCAACCATCTCCTAATTTTCAGGGAAGAAACTGAGGAAGGAAGACTGTAATAACAGCTCCTATGAGCTCCTGGGGATGTTGGCTTCCATTGACTCTAGACCAGAGATCATCAGTCTTTCAGAAATGGTGGGCCAGGAGCAGTTAGGGAATAATAGGTTACATTCATCCAATATTTTTTAAATGCTTACTGCGTGCAAGGTGTAGAAGTGGGCACTGAAAATACAAAGACAAAAATAAAACAAACTCTCTTCAAAGGGTTGGCACTGTACAGTTGGAATGCAACTTGTACCAACATTGAAAGCTCCCACCTAGGTATATCACACACACACCTAGTATTGGGGTCATCAGAACATGTGTCTTGAAATTCAGTCTAATAAGATTGAACATCATAATAGCTGACATTTACATTGGCACTTTACGCTTGTTAGCTGACTTGATTCTAACAAAAATACCCTCCTTTTAGAGAGGAGGAAATTGAGTATCAGAGAAGTTAAATGACTTTTCCAATTAGTAACTGTCGCTGTAGGACTCTAATATAATCCAGATCTGCCCAAAAGTCTGCTTCTCAGAAATGACCCATTATCAGATGTCATGTAAATGTGTTACATCTCAGACTGAATGTCTCCTGGGGGGATTCCTGAAGGGAGCATTGATTTGTCAACAAGATCAAGTACTTAACTATATACCAGAAATTGTGATTAAGTGTTGGGGATATGAAGACCAGAGTAAAAGTCTCCTATCCTCAAGGAGCTAACATTCTCAAGGATCCTCAGGGAGACATATGTGTGTGTATATACATGTGTATATTTGTGTGGGAAACTGGGTGGCACAGTGGATAGTGCTTCAGGCCTGGAGTCAGGAAAACCTGACTTCAAATATAGCCTCAGACACTTATTAGCTTTGTGACTCAGAGCAAGTCACTTAACTCTGTTTGTCTCAGTTTTCTTATTTGGAGCTGGAGAAGGAAATGGCAAACCACTCCAGTATCTTTGCCAAGAAAACCCCAAATGAGGTCACGAAGAACCAGACACAACTGAAAAACGACTGAGCAACATGTATATTTGTATGTGTGTGTATATAAAACATCAGTCTAAAGTAGTCAAGGTGATACATCCCTAAGCAGTGATAATATCCAATTATGTACTTGTTCAATGTAATGTTATTAACAGAAGAGAAATGGTCTGTGTGGAATCTAGAATAAGGAAAGCCAAAGTAAGATATTATCAGTAGTCTTCTGACACTGGGTAATCTAGTTCTAGTGGTGAAAGGAGCATTTTTTAGATCCCAGCATTGCTTGGTAGACTAAGCTGTTAGTAGTATCCAACTCACTTTGCTGTGATTCTGAGTTTACCAAACAGCCCTCTAATCTGTGATTTGGTGTTCCAAGTGATGTATCTACCTGGAGGGAATACTCTGTACCATTTGAAATGACTGAATTAGCATTCCAGTTTATGTATAATTTGCTTATGAGTTTGGTTAGTGTGGATTGGGTTTTCATTCATATGATCATCTCTGGTGGGCTGACGAAATAAAGTGTCTTACCTGAAGTGATAAGGATTCTACCAGCCATGAGAGGTCCTGTCTGAACTAACAATAGTTTTTGTCAGTGATTTTTAGCTGGAACAAAGGGGTACAAAGTGAAGTATGTGTGTGCAGTGGTGAACTGAGTGGTTCAGAGATGACTAAGAAATGAGTAATGAAATGAAGACTTGACACATGGCTTCTATAAAATGATTAACATCTCTGAGCTCATGAGGGCCTAACAAATCCATCAAGAACGTTCTAGTCAGGGATGTCTCTGGAACAATTCTGGATTACAGATTTTGTTGTTTAGTCATATCTAACTCTTTATGACCCCATTTAGGGTTTTCTTGGCAAAGATACTGGAGTGGATAGTAAAATACAGTTGTCCTGGGGAAGGGATGAGTAGTTAGGAAAGGGTGTGTGTGTGTGTAGGGATGTTCCCTCTCTGTGTCATATTCCCACCTCTCCTTTTTTTTTTTTTTTGACTAGGCAGTGGGATTAAGTGACTTGCTCAGGGTGACACAGCCCTACCTTTTTTGATAACCTTGGCTGCTTTGCCTGTCCAAATCATTTTTGTGATACTTTTGGTATATGGGTTTTAAGAAATAATCATCTTATTTTAGACTTTGACTCCCAGGGAATTGTGGGAACTGTCTAATCTGATACAAGGGAGGATGGGCAGATCAGATTATATTTATTAATTTTTTAGCCCTAAATAGATTTATGTCTCAGAATTTAACTTTAGCATATATGTCTGAAGTATAATATGATGATGTTTGAATAAACTCTGAAGGTGGTGATGACAAAGGCCAGAAAATTCTCATGTTGACTTGTAGTGGTAAAGCATCCTTCCTGGAAAGGTCCTAGATTCATCATGGGACCCCAGAGATACATGACTTTGATAGAGCTTCATTTTCTTTTCTCAACTTCTTCCAGGTTGAGCTTTTCTAGCCCAGCATCTACCAACATTGTGTCTGTGTGCTGGGCAGCTGGGCTGAATGCTGTGGATCGAGTAGAGACAACTCGACGCTACCGGCTCACTGTAAGAAAATAGTGGCTTTGGACAGAGGACAAGTGGCAGGGAAGTTGGGGAAGGAGAATTATGAGGATAAGATAAACAGAGTTATTGAAATAATTTGTAGTAGGGAGAGAGCCTGGCATGAAGGGGTTGAGGGGAGAAGGTGCAAACTCTGCTATTAATTTCTCTTTCTTTCTGACTTATCTCTTGGTCTCATTGTTTTGTTTTATTTCTTGTATTAAATATTTTTGGTTACATTTTAAATTCTGAACTGTCTCCCTCTCTCCCCATTCTGCACTGACAAGTGAGGGTGTGTGTGTAAAACCATTCTGTGCATATTTCTGTTTATCAGTTCTTTCTCTAGAGGTAGATCTTACTTCATAGATCCTTTATAGTTAATTTGAGTATTTATACTCAGAATAACTTAGTTGTTCATTTATTCTTTGAGCAGTAATGCTGTCACTACATCCAGCATTCTCTTGGTTCTGCTCATTTCACTCTTCATTACTTCGTGCAAGTCTTTCCATGTTTTTCTAAAATCAACCTGCTCATCATCTCTTACAGCACAGCAGTATTCCATCATAATCATATGCCACAACTTGTTTAGCCATTCCCCAATTGATGGAAACCCCTTCAATTTCCAGTTCTTTACCACCACGAAAAGAGCTGCTATAACTATTTTAGAACATATAGGTTCTTTTCCTTTGGTATTGTTGGGTCAAAGGGTATACACAGTTTTATAATTCTTTGGGCATAATTTCAGATTGCTCTCCAAAATGGTTGGATCAGTTCTTAGTTCCACCACCCGTGTATTAGTGTCTCAATTTTTCCACATCCCCTCCAACATTTCATTTTCCCCTTCTATCATTTTAGCCAATCTGATAGGTGTGAGATACCTCAAAGTTGTTTTAATTTGCATTTCTTTAATCAATAATGATGTAGAGCATTTTTTCATATGACTATATATATAGCTTTGATTTCTTCATCCAAAAACTGCCCTTTCATATCCTTTGACCATTTATCAATTGGGGAATGTTCATATTCTTATAAATTTGACTAAGTTCTTTATATATTTGAGACGTGAGACCTTTATCTGAGAAACTTGTCTATAAAATTCCCCCCACACACACACACTTTCTGCTTTCCTTCTAATCTTGCAACATTGGTTTTATTTGTGCAAAACCTTTTTAATTTAATGTAATCAAAATTACCCATTTTACGTCTCATAATGCTCTCTGTCTCTTGTTTCTTCATAGATTCTTGTCCTATCCATGAGTCTGATAGGTCATATGTCCCTCATTGTTTATCCTGTTCTCTCCTTGGTCCTCCCTTCAGTTTACCTCTGCCCCCTCAGCTGAAGAGAAGGCTGTTGCTTTAGCTACTATCCATGATCAGATGACAGAGCAATGCTTCCCCGGGTCTATCCAGAGCTTCTCTACAGGGAATCTCCCTGCATCCTGCAATGGTCTCATTGATATCCTGGCTGAGGGAAGAACTGCTCTGGAGAAGGCCAATAAAGAGCTAGGTTTGTATCCTGGGTGGGACCTAGGCATTGGGGACACCCAGGGATAACAGTGGGAGGAGAAGAATGAGATACTCAGAGAGGGTGGGCAGGAAGGTTTGGGCTCCAGGGGTTAGCAGTCTGTGATGTGATCCTTAGGTTTGGCCATGGACTCCTGGGACCTGGACTTTTATACCCGTTGCTTTCAGGAGCTGAAACGTAACCCCAGCATAGTGGAGGCCTTTGACCTGGCCCAGTCCAATAGGTGAAATGAGTTGGGATATTTGTAATTTGTAAGGGAAAGGTGGGGTTTGATTTATTGGTGGCTTGGGTTTCCTTTTCGAGCTTTTGTGTCTAATATTGTTGCTCCATTTCTAAGTTCTTGATGTTAAGGGACAGTGTATTCAGAGAGAAGTCCTTCTATGAGACAGCCCCTCTCAGTTTGTACTAATGGTGGATGTGGGAGAATAAGCCATTCAAGAATGGTACCTTCTGAGAAGGCATGGATGAGGAGCTCTCTTCACTAGTGGAGGGATATCCTTATCAAAAATATATTCTTCAATATAGGCATTAAAGAAGTATTAAATTGAGGAGTTGGGGGTGGTGGTGGAGGAGATATGTATGATCTAAAATAAACCAAACCATATTTATTGTTTAACCCTTTTATAGTTGATTTGGCTGATGGGATGTATCAAATTTCACGTTAGAAAATGAGACTGGAAAAGAGCTACTTCAGATTCCTCATTGTATCAGTCACCCTCCTGACATAATTCTTCCTTTTGTATCCTCCAGTGAACATAGCCGACATTGGTTCTTCAAGGGTCGGCTTTGGGTTGATGGACAAGAGCTGGAGCACTCGTTGTTTGATGCCATAATGAGCACCCAGGCAACTTCTAATCCCAACAATGTCATTAAATTTTGTGACAACAGCAGGTGAGGGCTAAGACTGGGGAAAACCAGGAGTTCCAACGTCAGCCCCTGTGAGACTGAGGTTTAGAGGAGGTGGACCTGAGGCTTTGTTTGGGACAAATACATGCCTCTGTACCAGCACTGATGCTTCCTGTATTGTCAGTGCTATCCAGGGGAAAGAAGTACAATTCCTGTGCCCTGAGGACCCTTCCAAGCCAAGCCGTTTTCAGGAGCAGACAGGAATAAGACATGTCATCTTCACAGCAGAGACTCACAATTTCCCCACTGGTAGGAGTCAGGGTGTGGAAAGCCTTGGGGATGTGGGGTTCTGAATCCTTGAGACAGAAACAGGAGTTGGGGGGAGGACTGTGGTTTGGGGATATATTATTTCCTAAACGAAAACTTTATACAGTTTTATACAGGAAAAGAGGAACTAGGAAACTGGACTCACAATTCCCTGAAAGGTCTTGGAAAGTCTTGTCTGTTTCTGTGCCAGTCCCTATGTCTCCTCTTTGTCTCTTCCATGCCTAGGTGTTGCTCCTTTCAGTGGGGCTACCACAGGAACTGGTGGCCGGATTCGAGACATACAGTGTACAGGCCAAGGGGCGCATGTTGTGGCTGGCACCGCAGGCTATTGCTTTGGCAATCTGCACATTCCAGGTCTCTTCCAGTTAAAAGTCTCTTATTGTATTGAATAGATCTTCTATCCTGGTAGACAGGAGGATGCTCTGCTTCCTTTAGCAGAAGGCAATGACTTGTGCCTTATCAGGCTTCATTGGAAGGTCCCGTAGTGGATGGGCTTTCAGTTGCCGATGGTGCTTATGCTGTAAGGGGATAGTGTAGTTTGGTAATATAGGGTGTCCCAGAAGTCTTAGTGCAGTTCTAAACTATTAAAGCTAGTATGAAATTAATGTTTTATTATGTACTAATATTAAAATTTTAATAGCTTAAGATAACACTACGATTTTGAGAACATCCTGTATTACATTGACAGCTTGTGGCTCAAATCCATATTCTCCTTGAAATAGGAGAATTTTCATAGTGAGAAAACTGTGATTTGCAATTCCTTTTCTCAGTGTACATTTGTAGCAAAGGCTCCAGTCATCCCGATCTGTATCTTGCCACTGTGCCTGGATGGCTCCAGAGGAGAAAGTGAGGCTAGTGACTTTGCACAGCCTCCCTCACTTAAATCAAATTCAGTTGCAAGTTGTGGCCTCACCTCCCTCATATCATGGTCCTGTTTGAGAATGAAGGACAAACAAGGTGCGGCTGGGAAGAATGGGGTGAGGCCCAGGGGGCCTGTACCTTTCCTCTGCTCTTCAATCAGCCAGCCTCTACAGATGGCCCGTAAAGCCTGCAAGTGGTCCGAGATGTAGTGGTGGATCTCGCTAGCCAAGCTGATTCTCACAGTGTTGCCATGTGACAGGAAGCCTCTGCCCAAGGCTCACAGGTGTCCTCTCTTCCCTGTAACTCTCCCAGGCTATAGTTTACCCTGGGAAGATCCAAACTTGCAGTATCCAAGGAACTTCGCCCATCCTCTTGAAGTTGCAGTTGAAGCAAGCAATGGGGCCTCTGACTATGGGAACAAGTTTGGGGAGCCAGTGCTGGCAGGTAAGGCTGATGGGCAGGGGTCTTACTTATCATCTGGGCCCCTCATAGAAGTCTAGAGTGAAGTGTGGGAGCTAGATTCCTAGGAGAAGAGCCAGGGTCTAGGAGGACTGAGTGCTTCATGTGGTCACAGCTAAAACTTACAGGGCACTCTAAGGTGCACAGTGTGTTTTCCATGCTTTTTGTCATTTGATCCTCACAGCCACCCCATAGCAGAGGTGCTACGTGAATTATCCCCATTTTACAGATGAGGTAAGAGCCTTAAGAAGGTTAAATGACTGGCTAATAAGTAATTAGAGGAAGAAATGAAACCCCAGTCTTACTGATTCAGTGAACCAGTGTTGCCTCCGTTGTACCACGATCCCTGTATCTTCTCGAGAGGATTGAGGGCTCAGCATTAGGATTGCTGAGGAGTGTGGAAGCTGGGCAGTCTTCATTCTCCTCCGGATGTCTCTTCCATCCAGGCTTTGCCCGATCCCTGGGGCTCTGTCTCCCAAATGGGCAGCGGCGGGAGTGGATCAAGCCAATCATGTTTACTGGTGGTATTGGATCCATAAATGCTGAGCATGTGAACAAGGAAGCCCCTGAAAAAGGTGAGGTCCTTCTCACAGTATCTCTGCCTCCAGAGAGTACAGGTCTTAGGGAAGAAAAGATTCCGTCTCCCCAGTTAGCTTCCTATCTCCTCACTGAACTCAGGTCTTTTTCAAAGTCCAAGAGGCAGGGGAAATTATCTTCTCTTACCCACTGTTCTATTCTTGTGGCAAAGTACCACTTTCATTACATATTCGCTTCCTCCTCTTTTTTTTTCCCTTTCCTCTATTAAGTTAGTGAAGAGGCAGCATTATGTGGTAGATAGAGAGCCAGCTTTGGAGCCAGAAAGAACTGGGTTCAAGTCTTTCCTTTGACATGTAATGGCATTTAACCTCTCTGTGACCATAAGTTGAAGAGAAAATGCTGGTCTGCATTGGTAGAGGAGATTTCTTACTGGGAGTTTCCTATGCTGTTAAATCATGGGTGTAGTTATCTACCACCAAAAAATAATAAGTTTTATTTTTAATTTAAATTTTTTTTCCCCAATTGCATGTAAAAACAATTTTTAGCCTTTGGGTTTGTTTTTTTTTTTACAGTTTTGAGTTCCAAATTATCTCCTACCCTCCTTGTCCTCCCCCTCATTGAGAAGGCAAGCAATTTGATACAGGTTATATATATTCAGTCATGCAAAACATGAAACATTAAGTTTTTAACACTTAGTACTTGCCTGGTTCTTTTCTAGGCTATAACCTTAGCTGTCTTCCCTGTTTCTGGGCTAGAGGAAGGGTTTAACTTGGAGGCCTCATCTTGACAGGCCCTTATCATATCTCTCCATTCTCTAACTCTAGCTCATCTCACTTTCCTTCTTCACAGGCATGGAGGTTGTGAAAGTTGGGGGGCCTGTCTATAGGATTGGGCTTGGGGGTGGAGCTGCTTCATCCATCCAGGTGAGTAGAAGAAGGTGAAAGCTGTGGGCTGGATGCCAAAGTGCACAAGGAATAAGATCTTTGACCTCATCCCCAAACAGGTTCAGGGGGACAATGCTAGTGACCTGGATTTTGGGGCAGTGCAACGGGGTGATCCTGAGATGGAACAGAAGATGAACCGGGTAATCCGGGCATGTGTGGAGGTGCCTGGAGGGAATCCCATCTGCAGCCTTCATGATCAAGGAGCTGGTGGCAATGGTGAGGAGCTATGAGATGGAATGTGGAGGCCAGGGCCCTTTTTCCTAACACAACTCCCCTAAACAGGATTAGGGAGGAACTTTTAGGAACAGCAGATTGTCTCCTTCCCACTGCCACATAACACTATGGCTTTCCTCCATTTCAGATAAAAATCCTAATTCATTAAGGGGAATGGGAACTACAGTAGTTAGTTGAAAAGGTAGGAAAGGTAGGGAGTATGGAAATGAGCAGAGAAAAAATTGAAATTAAGGGCTTCCCCTCCAGAGACTACCCCCAGCTCCCAGAATAAGGTTAGGTAAGTAAAATTAGATCTGACATTGAGACCCCTCAGTCTGAGGATCTGTGTACTAAGTGCCTGTCCGATCTATCTCACCCATTCTCCTAGGGAATGTCCTAAAGGAACTGAGTGATCCAGCTGGAGCCAGGATCTATACCAGCCGCTTTCAGGTATGTCAGTCCACACCCTGTTCCATGTTGTGCCTTGAAGAAATTTGAAGTCTCATTACCATACGTATACCCCCTACAGTTGTGCTAGGTCCCTACCCCCAGGAATTGCAAGAAATCTGAGGGAGTCGGAGGAGAAGAAACAATCCTTATCCATCCTTCTGACTTATTTAAGTCCAATCTGCTTTAGCTCTCAAGGATCATCTGACCGTGTTTTATCTTTTCTTCTTCTGTCTCCTCTAATGTGGTTTTATAGTTGGGAGATGCAACGCTGAATGCCCTGGAAATCTGGGGAGCTGAATACCAGGAGTCAAATGCCCTGCTGACAAGATCTTCTCATCGGGATTTCATGAACCAGGTCTGCTCTCGAGAACGATGTCCTATCTGCTATGTTGGAACCATAACAGGAGACGGACGGGTGAGAAGCCTAGACAACCAGGAATGGGGATGAACAGGAGAGGGGAAAATTGCTTGCAAGGAAGGGATGGGTCAGAGTTTTACAGACAAGATGGGTCTACCTAGAACAAGGGCAGCTAAGTGGCACATTGGATAGTGTACCAGGCTTGGAATCAGGAAGACCTGAGTTCAAATCAGGTCTTAGACACTTATTAGCTGCGTGACCTTGGGCAAATCACTTAACCCTGTTTGCCTCAGTTTCCTCATCTGTAAAATGAGCTGGGGAAGGAAATAGTAAACCACTCTAGTATCTTTGCCAAGAAAACCCCCAAAGGGGTCATAAAGAATAGGATACAACTGAAACGACTGAACAATAAGACCTGAAAGAAGAGTCATAGAGACAGTTGCAGGAGTTGGGGGTGGGGGGAGAAGAGTGTTGGGCCTGAAAGTCAGGAAGACCTGAGTTCAAATCCTGCCTAAGACACTGAACTAGCTATGAACCCTTGGGCAAGACACTTCGCTTCTCAGCTTCACTTTTCTTATCTGTAAAATAGGGATGATAGCAGTAGTAATTACCTCAAAGAGTTGTTGTGAGGATCAAATGAGATAACATATATATATGGCTCTTTGCAAACCTTAAAGTGCTACATAAGTGCTAGCAAGTATTAGATGGGAATGCGTTCAGCAAACAGGTGAACTTTAGAGTTGTGTGTAAGTATGTGGGAAGCAGTGAGTAAGAGGAGAGAGTAGAATGGGTGATGGGGGTAGAATATGGATTTAGTGGATAGAAATCTCTGATCCTTTATGGAGTTTGTTTATCTTCTGTCTTTTTCATCTCTATCTAGATCGTGTTAGTAGAAGACCGGAAATGTCTTGTGGGCAAACAGGATCATGGGGATGGGCCCTCTGCTCTTACCTCAACACCTGTAGACTTGAAACTGGACTGGGTGCTAGGGAAGATGCCCAGAAAGGTGCTGAGATTGGAATAGCTGGGAGTATTGCCTAGAAATCCCTGAGGCTGCTTCTATGCCTCCCAAATCTCTGGCCTCCTAACCCTTTATAACCTCATGCTCCTTTCTCACCCCCATCTGACCCTCCCTTTGTGTTTTTGAATCCTTGCCTGATTTCCTGACTTCAGGTCCTCCACTACCCTGTATTTCTCTTCCAGGATTTCTTCCTTGAGAGAGTCCCTTGCGTCCTACAGCCCCTGGTTTTGCCCCCTGGGTTAAGTGTCCTTCAGGCTCTCGATCGAGTCCTGCGTCTGCCTGCCGTGGCCAGCAAGCGCTATTTAACTAACAAGGTACTTCTTCTCCCCATTTTGGGGCCAGCTTCAAAAGAGGCCTCATTACAAGAAAACTGTGAGCTTTGCCCAATTCTTCACGTTCAGTCCCTTCTTTCAGCCCAGAGGGAGGAGGACAGGATGGGGAAGGTTGGGTAGATGAAGAGGGGAGTCAGTGGTGGGATTTTACCAGAGGACAGTGTCACAAGTTCTTCCACCTCACCCTTAGGGCCCACATGGCTAAGCGTCTTCCTAGGCTTTCAGCACCAGGGGTTTGAATGAGGATTGTACCAGTTCAGTTGGGGTAGTTTCTTCTTCCAAAGAGGGAGGGGACCTGTGTTCTTAGTTCTCTCTGCCTGCCTCTTTTGAAGACATCTCATATTCTTTACTCTCTTCAGGACTGTGTAATTCTTTTCTTCTCCCCACCCCTCATGAGTCACTGCTGTCTCTTCCTGGGTGTGTCTCACTGTTTTGTCCTAATGCCTGAACACTTATCCTACAGGTGGACCGGTCAGTGAGTGGACTGGTGGCTCAACAGCAGTGTGTGGGGCCACTCCACACACCTCTAGCCGATGTGGCGGTGGTAGCCTTAAGTCATGGAGAACTGGTAGGGGCAGCTACAGCTGTAGGAGAACAGCCAGTCAAGAGCCTGCTGGACCCTAGGGCAGCTGCTCGCCTAGCTGTGGCTGAAGCCCTCACCAACCTGGTGTTTGCACAGATCACTGATCTACGGGTGAGGTTCCAGCCTTGCCCCCAGTCCCTTAACCTTTTACTGCTGCATCCTCACCATGACCCCTATTCCACTTTCCTATTTCCCTTGCCTCTTTCCTCAGCCCTTAGCCCCTCATTTCTTTGGCATTTCAGCCCCCTACTTGGTGTTTCTGTACAAATACCAGTTTCCCAACTACCCTGGACCTTATACGCATGTAGTCTCCATTACACAATTTCCCCTGTCCCAACTCGCCTCCTTTTTACTCCTCTCATATTCTAGTTTTCTCTAACCCTCACATGTCATTCTTGGTCTCACTCAGGATGTGAAATGCAGTGGAAACTGGATGTGGCCAGCTAAGCTCCCTGGGGATGGAGTAACTCTGGTGGATGCCTGTGTGGCCATGGTAGCTGTCATGCGTGCCCTCGGGGTGGCAGTGGATGGTGGCAAGGACTCACTTAGCATGGCTGCTCGTGTTGGAAATGAAACCGTGAGGGCTCCTGGTGAGATGGGATGACCTTAATAGGATAATGAAGGGAAAGGTGAAGTGGAAAGAGCTGGAAAACTCATGAAAGTAAACAAAACAGAAGAAGGCCTTGTAGTGAATGCCAGGTGGAGGGAGGGGTCAGTGTGAGAAGCTGAACTCACCTCATCCATGTCTTCTTTTCTTATACTAGGATCTCTAGTAATTTCAGCCTATGCTGTTTGCCCTGACATAATGGCCACTGTGACCCCAGACCTCAAGAACCCTGGAGGGCAAGGTACCACTTCCTTTCCTGAATGATCAGAGGTCAGGAAGGTCACCCTTCTCTTTTCAGCAACCCTCGGCTTACACACCTGCAAAATGGGGAGGGAGGCTGGTGCATGCTGAGAGTTGTGGTCTTTGGGGAATCCTCATGCATGCAGGTAGTATAGTCCCATATTGGAGATACAGTGAGTTCAGGGCTGCATGGCTCAGTAGATAGAGAGCTGACCTTGGAGCCACGAGGACCCAAGTTTCAGTCCTACTTCTGACACGTGGCTCTGGGCAAGTCACTTACCCCTCAGTGTTCTAGGTAGCTGTTTAAGACTGTAGGTTGCAGAGAAAATGTTAACATGCATTGGTAAAGGGAACGTCCTCATTTGGCAGTTTTCTATACAAATGAAATCGTAAGTCCAGCTTCCTGTCCCTCTCCCTATCTGATTTTCTCTTGTTCCCTGCCCTCAAACTTCCTTAATTTTTCAGGATGTCTTTTATATGTGCCTCTGAGCCCTGGGCAGCACCGACTTGGGGGCACGGCCCTGGCTCAGTGCTTCTCTCAGCTTGGGACAGAGCCGCCCGATTTGGATGTTCCTGAAAACCTTGTTTGGGCCTTCAGTGTTACCCAGGGCCTGCTGAAAGGTGAGTGAATCTCAGGGGCCAGAAGAGTCAAGGACACAGCACAAAGGGCCTGGCCCATAGTTTAATGAGGATGAGAGGAGGGACACATTTCTCTAGGGTCTGTCTGTTACCTGTTTCTTGTTCTGTCTCTCCTAATCTTTCTTTGCCTGACATTTTCTCTGTGAAGGTGAGGTGTGGAAAGAAACCAAAGGAGCCTGAGACTGATGACCTCTTACTCTTTCTTCCTTAGACCGTCTCCTAAGTTCTGGCCATGATGTCAGTGATGGTGGTCTTATTACTTGCATCCTGGAGATGGCATTTGCTGGGAATTGTGGGATAGAAGTGGATCTGCCCCTTCCTGGGGCTGATGGTGAGAGACTTAAGTGTCTAAAGTTTAAGCCCAACTCTCCTCTTCCCATTTCCCTTCTCCATCAGATTTTTCTCTTATTTCATGGAATTTGAGCATCTAAATGGCCCAACCTGTTCCTTTCTCAGGTATCCCATGTTCAGGTTTTTCAGTTCTACTGACCCCTTTGCTCCCCATTTCCTGCCATCCCTCTTGACCCTTTGCCCTAGTGTGTTCCTGCTTCTCCTTTCAGTGCTGCCAGTGCTCTTTGCAGAGGAGCTGGGTCTGGTACTTGAGGTGCGAGAGCTTGATGAGGCCCAGGTGCAGAAGCGATATCAGGATGCTGGCCTCACCTGCCTTTCCATAGGTCGCACAGCTGGGGATGGCCCCCATGCCAGGGTAAGAAGTTGGGAAGGAGCTGGGCAAGCTAGAGTTCTCAGAACTATTAGCCAGGATGACCTTTACCATTTGTATTTCTCCCCTCCCCATTCTCCACAGGTTCAAGTGGCAGTGAATGGAACAGTTGTTTTGGAGGAGACAGTGGGGCAGTTACGTGCGTTATGGGAGGAGACAAGTTTCCAGTTGGAGCGGCTGCAGGCTGAGCCAAGCTGTGTGAATGAGGAGGAAGCTGGGTTGAGAGAGCGGAAAGGACCTCGCTACAGCTTACCACCTTTTCCTACTGAAACCTCTGTGCCCCATGAACCTGGTGAGGTTAGAACCTGAATACGTAGATTCTGGGGAAGAGGAGGGAGGACCAGAGAGAGAGAGAGATCTGGGGGATAAGGGTTAGGTGCTTGGCCTGCTAAGTTCAAGGAGTGGGGAGGAGGGGGGGCAGGGGAGAGGGCAGGTGGACGATCAGATTCCTCAGTCTTTGAGATTGTTTCTGCCTCTCCATCCAGGAGGCCCTGCCCCTCGAGTTGCCATACTGCGTGAGGAAGGAAGCAATGGAGATCGAGAGATGGCAGATGCTTTCCACATGGCTGGGTTTGAGGTAAGCAAAGAAACAAAAGACTTTACCCCCACAAAAGAAGAGAGCTAGAAACTAGAGGTACCAGTCCTAGGAGTCCAACTTCTAATATGACTCCTATCCTCTCAACTTCAGGTTTGGGATGTAACAATGCAGGATCTTTGCTCTGGGGCCATTGGACTGGACACATTTCAAGGTGTGGCCTTTGTTGGTGGCTTCAGTTACGGAGATGTCCTTGGTTCTGCAAAAGGTTGGTTTTTATTCCAACTTCCTTCTGCTAGATTCCTCCCATATCCCCAGTTCCTTTAGTGTAAAAGGTCCATTTTTATTGCCCTCATCTGTTCAAAGGATTCAGTCTCCTTTGGATTCAAATTTAGCCTTTAATCTTACCCATTTAAGCTGGGTGAAGGTGAAAACAGTATAGTAATTGGACAGATGAACTCATGTCTTTGCTTCTACCTGCCCTCAGTAAATGGTGGTATTCTCAGGATAGGAGTATCTCAATGTGTACTGGAAATAAAAATCAGTCCTAAATCATTCCCAGGCCCCTGAAGATTTCTGTCTCTTTTCTGCCTCTGCTGTTTATGAAACTGCCTATTTCATAAACATTCCCTTTGTCATTCTGTTCTCTGGTGATCATTCATATTTCTTTTTTTTACATGAATTAAAAACAATTTTAAATAATATTTTCCCCAATTACATATAAAGACAATTTTTTAACATTCATTTTTTAAAAATTTGTTCCAAATTCTTTTCCTTCCTCACCTCTCCCCTCCCTAAAATGGTAAGCAATTTGATATAGGTTATACATGTTCAATCATTCAAAACATATTACCTTATTAGTCGTATTGTGAAAGAAGACGGAGACCTAGATTAAAAAAAAACAACACGTAAAAAAGAGAAAGTGAAAGATAATATGCTCCAATCTGCATTCAGATTCCATCAGTTCTCTTTCTGGAGGTGGGATAGCATTTTTCATCATGAGTCCTTTGGAATCATCTTGAATCTCTGTATTGCTGAGAATAGCCAAGTCATTCACAGTTGATTGTACAATATTGCTGTTACTGTGTATAGTGTTCTCCTGGTTCTTTGCATCAGTTTGTGTAAGTCTTTCCAGGTTTTTCTGAAATCAGCGTACTCATTATTTCTTATAACACAGTAATATTCTATTATAATCATATGCCACAACTTGTTGAGCCATTCCCCAGTTGATGGGCATCACTGCAATTGCTAATTCTTTACCATTACAAAAAGGATCTGCTATATATAAAACCCTTTGGGCATAGTTTCAAATTGCTCTCCAGAATGGTTGGATCCATTCACAACTCCACCAACAGTGCATTAGTGTCCCTATTTTTCTATATCTCTTCCAAAATTTGTCGTTTCTGTTTTCTGTCACATTGGCCAAGCTGATGGGTATGTGGTGGTACCTCAAAGTTCCTTTAATTTGCATTTCTCAAATCAGTAGTGATTTAGAGCATTAGCTTTGATTTCTTCATCTGAAAACTGCCTGTTCATATCTTTTGACTATTTATCAACTGGGGAATGACTTATAAATTCTTATGAATTCTTATAAATGTGAATCAGTTCTCTATATATTTGAGAAAGGAGGCCTTTATCCAAGATACTTGCTATAAAAATTGTTTCCTAGTTTTCTGCTTTCCTTCTAATTTTGGTTGCATTTATTTTGTTTGTGCAAAAACTTTAATTATTTCTTTAAAAAATTTTTATTACTATGAGCATGAATATTTCCTCATGTAAACAGCTTCCATCTCCTTTCCTTAATGCTTGTCTTTCTCACTCTCTATCCCCAGGCTGGGCAGCAGCTGTAACATTCAATGTCCATGCAAGTACAGAGTTGCAGCGCTTTCGTACTCGAACTGATACCTTTAGCCTGGGAGTGTGTAATGGCTGCCAGCTGTTAGCGCTGCTTGGCTGGGTTGGGAGAGACCCTAATGAGGATGAAAAGGACCCTACTCCTAAGAATTCCCCCACCCAGCCTGGCCTTCTCCTTCGGTCTAACGTTTCTGGTCGCTTTGAGTCAAGATGGGCTACAGTGCGCGTAGGGCGTGGGCCGGCCCTGATGCTTCGAGGAATGGAAGGTGGAGTGCTGCCAGTATGGAGTGCCCATGGAGAAGGTAAAAGTAACCAGAAGTGAGTGGTACATAGGTTGGGTTTATAAGAGGCAGTGATGAATGTGGGGTGAATGAAGATGTTAGGACAGGTGAGAACCCAGGAAGTAAGGATTAGGATTGGTAGAAGGGGGAGGTCTAGGTTTATGGTGGGGAGAGAGTATCAGGAAAGACAAAAGGATAGGCACAGAATATGAATGGGAGAGGCAGAACAGGGAAAGAAGTTGAAGAGCTGTTAGGAAGGTGAGAACCATGATAAAAGGACTTATTAGTATTAAGAAAGAGAGGCACAAGATTAGGAGGTAGACTGGGGAAAAATAATGAGAAAGTGAGGTCTGCACCAAAATCAATGGAACTGGGAGGGCAAAGGGCCAAGCATAGAGAAGCCCCAGAGATAGGGCAGGCATAGATTGGACTCCCAGGACAACAAACAGAAGCATGCAGCTTCCAAAGTAGGGAAGTTGATTTTAGTGCAAGGGAATCAGTGGATGATAGAGCTTTGCATTGACAATTGCCACCTCATTTCCACAGGTTATATGGCTTTCTCATCCCCTGGACTCCAGGCTCAGCTGGAAGCAAAGGGTTTGATCTCACTCCATTGGGTGGATGATGATGGGAACCCTACTGATCGCTACCCTTTGAATCCTAATGGCTCTCCAGGCGGTGTGGCTGGTGTCTGCTCCCAGGATGGCCGCCATCTGGCACTCATGCCCCACCCTGAGAGAGCTGTGCGGCCCTGGCAGTGGGCATGGCGACCTCCCCCATGTGACAGTCTGTCTACTTCACCTTGGCTCCAACTTTTCATTAATGCCCGACGCTGGTGCCAAGAAGGTTGCTGAGGACCAAAAAAAGTATGCTTCAATCTGCATTCAGACTCCATCAGTTCTTTCTGTAGAGGTGGATAGCATTTTTCATAAATCTTTCAGAATTTTCATGGATCGTTGTATTGCTGAGGCTAGCTAAGTCATTCACAGTTGATTATTGTATAATGTTGCTATTGCTGTGTACAATGTTCTCTTGTTTTCATTTTGCATCAGTTCATATAAGTCTTCCCATGTTTTTCTGAAACCATCCCCTTTGTCATTTCTTACAGCAAAATAGTATTCCATTACAATCATATGCCACAACTTGTTCAGCCATTCCCCAGTTGATGGGCATCCTCTCAGTTGCTGATTCTTTGCCACCATAAAAAGAGCTGCTATTAATATTTGTGTATAAATGGATCCTTTTTCTCTTTTTTTGATCTCTTTAAGATACAGACATAGTGATGATATGGCTGGGTTAAAGGCTATGCACAGTTTTATAGCCGATTGGGCATAGTTCTAAATTGTTGTCCAGATTGGTTAGATCAGTTCACAACACCAATAGTACATTAGTGTCCCAATTTTTCCACATTCCCTCCGATATTTGTCATTTTCCTTTTCTGCCATATTAGCTGATTTGTTTATCCTCTTCTGATAATGATACATGTTACATAGATATTACCCCCAGGAAGATAGAAACCTGTACTTTCCTAGTCAGGATACTTAACTCCTTCTTCATGACCTTACTCTACCTCCCATCCCAAAGTCCCACGTTGTCTCAAATATGTGTATGTTTATGTGTTTATATTTATACATGTGTATATATATAGAACCCTAGGATGTCAGTCTGTTATCCTTATTTTACAAATGAGGAAACTGAAATAGACTTAAAGAACTTGTCCAGGATCAAACACACATGAGGCAAGATTTTAGCACATTACAGGTGCTTAAATACTTCAACACTGTAAAAAAAAAAATCAGTACCTTAACCTAATCTGAATACCAGACTCTAGACATCTTTGATACTCCCAGTCAGTACAAACTTTGGCACCACTTTAATGGTCCATATATAATATTGTATATGATAGCAGATTGTTGTACCTTATCGCCCAATAAGCTTCCTATCTTTCCCCAGTGCAGAGTATTTAGTAGATTCTTAATGTTTACTGAATCAGTGGCCAAAGACTAGGGAAATGGATGAATTTCAGCTATCCCATCCCTAAGGATTTCCAGCATCAGAGAGGTAGAGGAGGGCCGAAAGGGTTAGTTGGGAGTAAAATGTGGATTGTTGTGTGGGCATAGGAGGACTTGGTCTTTGTGCACAACAATGGCTGTGGTGATTTTAATCCCTTGATCTTTGCCCGAAAGTGCTAAAGAAATATTTATTCAAATGGAATTTGGAAGCATAAGAAAGCCCCAGGACCCTCCTCCCCAGCAACTCCTGCACCTGCTGAACCACCTCCTCCACTGTCAGCTGTTGTAGTTTCTCTGCCTCTCATTGAGCTTCAGCCCCACTAGGTGATCCCTGCCCAGCAGTTTCTCCTGGGCTACCAAGGTCTCCAGTCCAGTCAGTCTTTTTAACACTGTTCAGAACAACTAACAATATTCTGTCATTTTCCATTAGTGTACTTAACCACAACTCTTTCATTCTCCAGAGTTTTTGGAACAGGGGTAAAAGAAAGACCCCAAAAGGATGTTTGTCCTTTGTCCCAGATCCAGAGTATCTGAATGGATTGGAGAGTAGAGCAGAAAAGTAGAAAACCCATTTAAAAATCACCATATACTGTTTCCTGAGGGTATGTGTATATGTATATATACATATGTATATAGGCTGTGTTTCTACACACAGGATGCCTGAGGAGGGAAGGCTTAGGCAAAGGAAACCTTTCTGAATCCTGTCTACAGTACCATGAATTATTTGAATATCATAAGCTTTGAGTTTCTAAATGAGGCATTTCACCTGGACCTGAACAGACCTAGGGATCTGCTTCCTTCTTTGGCCTCAGAGACCCATTCCTGTCAGAATTGTCAAGGGCATAGATTTAGAGCTGACGGGGGCTTCACAGGTCATTTAATCCAACAATCCTCTCATTTTAGGGCTGAGGAAACTGAGGAGGCCCAGAGAGGCTAAATGACTCGGTTGGCCCACATATGATTAAAAATGGAACGCTTACCATTGCACCAGGCACTCAGCATCGTAGGAGAGTCTAAGAAAATTCACAACTGAAAGTTGCCAGATTTTAGTTGACAGAATCCATGCCATTCATTCTGAACATGGTGTGGATTGTTTTTCTACCTTTATGATGTAACTCCTTTACAATACGGACTTTCATTTTGTCTTTGAGTAACAATACTATGCTGGGGCAGCTAGCTGGCACAGTATATAAAGCATATGGGACCTAGAGCCAGGAAGATGAGTTCAAATCCAGCCACTTACTGGTTGTGTGACCCTGTTTGCCTCAGTTTCCTCATCTGTAAAATGAACTGGAGAAGGAAATAGCAAACCACTCCAATATTTTTGCCAAGAAAACCTCAAATGAAGTCATGAAACAGACATTGAAAATACAGTAGGTACTTAATCAAGAATTGTATTGACATCTTTTGTTTTTACATCATCTTCATTTCCAAATATATCCTTTCCCCTCCCCAAGGCATCAAATATCCCTTGAAACAAAGAATAAACAGAGAAAGTGGGACAAAAAGCAGTTCCGCAAAACTAAGCAATACTTCAGGATTGACAGTTTATACAATGGCCTACACTCAGTCTCAGACTCTTCTTTAAGTCTGTGGTGCCTTTAAACATGGATTTTCCCTGCTTCTCTATCTTATCTAAGTAACCTAGGCAGATCTGGGCTTGCCCCTGTAACTTGAAGGCCTACCACATGGATAGAGGTATCGATACCTCTTTGATTGGCTTCTTGCATCTAAAACTGGGGAGACTGAGCCAGTCTTTTTTCCTCTCCTCTTTCTGTTGTGCTTTTTTCTGCATTTGAAGGTGAAGATCAGAGTTCACCCATAGCATGGGTACCATGAACTGAAGTGATAAAAAGAGGACTTCCTTTCCCTGTATCCTTTTTTTTTTTTGGTTAGCCCATTGGGTTAAGTGACTTGCCCAGGGCCCTGTACCCTCTTTTAACTTGGCTCCAGAAATGGAACTGGAAGTACTTGTTTCTGTTCTGTTGTTTGTCCTCAGTTTCAGGTGTTACAGTCAATTTCCACTGGCCTGGGGTGTTTGAGTGACTTTGGGACCAGGATTACAGGCTGGGTAGTGCAGCCAGTTGGACCAGCATGGGAGTCCTGAGAAGCCAGGGTGTCTGGCTCCCCCCCAGGAGGGTACTGTTCTTGGGGGGTTAGGGGGGAAGGGGCCCTCTGCTCTATAGGAACTGAGCTAAGCTATGAACCAAATCTTCCCCTCCCCAGAGACTGAGGTGGTATAAGGAGGCTCACAAGCTGGGGAGTAAATTTGTGATCATACTTTCTGAAGTAAATATTGCTTTGTCAAAGCCTAATTTGACAATCAGGGGTTAAATAGAACTGGAGTACAAGGGAGCCCCTCTACACGTAAGAGAACACCATCGATGGAAGCTGGAACCAGTGGCAGAGGACCTTGACCCCAAATCTCTGGGAGTACCAGAGAATCCTAGGGGAAGCATAAACTCTCACCTACCTGGACTTCAGGCACTGGGAGCCAGGGTAGTCAACGATATATCTATATTTACTGTAACATTATCTGAAATGACTGAAGCATAATAGATTTTTGCTCCATCTTTCATTTTAACTGTAAATCTTTGTATTTCTTTTAAACATGTGGGCCATATCCCACAGAATCTGAACATATTGTGGTTTTCTGTTTTCTAATCCATTCTTCTATCTTTCACTTTATGGGCAATTTCTTCACATTCGCAGTTAGGACTATTGTAAACCTTTATCCTGTTCTTTTCTTTTTCTTCTCTTTACTTCCACTTACTTCTTCATAAACAAGAAAGTGACTTCCCTCCTACTCACATGCTTCAGAATGAAGCTGGAGAAAACCATAACCCTACTGACTGGGTCCACTACAAATTTGTTACATAACCCTCAACTAGGCCCTCACTGCAGCTAAACAATCCTACACTTCTACACTCCTTCTACTTAACTTACTACCTGCTCACCATAACAGCTCTTCAAAAATTTTTTATCCCTCCACAAACTTCCCATGGCAACTCCTTCCCCAACCCCTTCCAGCTGAGAACCCTGCCTCAGTATTACATTGAAAAAATTTAGGCCATATGCCAAGAGCTCTTCTCCCCTCTCCCCCTTATCTTTTATCATTAGATATCTTCCCACACTATACCATTACCCCGTCTCTCATGAGGAGGTGGCCCTTCTTATCAAGGCACTCTTCTATATACATTAGTGCCTCATCATCCCCACTCACTCTCCTGTCTACAGACACGCCTCTGTCTCCTCTACCCTTGAAAAAACCTTCATTTGATCGACCTAGCCATCCGCATTAACTATCATCCCATGTCTCTTCTGTGGATGAGTTCCTTGAGAAGGTGATCTGTAATTGATTGTTCCACTCCTTTCCTCTTACTCTCTTCTTAAATTTGTAGTCTGGCTTCTAACCTCATTATTTAACTGGAACTTCTCTCCCCAAAATTATCAGATCTCTTAATGACTGAATTTTTAAAAAAATAACATTCAATTTATTCTGTTTTTAAAAAAAAGCAAGAAGTATGGAATGGAGATCAGTGTTTTCATATGCAATCCTCTTTTGTGTTCTGCTGTGTACATACTAATACTGTGTGTGTGTGTGTGTGTGTGTGTGTGTGTGTGTGTGTGTGTGTGTGTGTAGGGGGGGGTTAATGACCAAATCTCAAAGCCTTTTTCTCAGTCCTCATCCTTGACATTTTTGCAACCTTTGACACCATCTTCTTTCTAGGTTTTCATGTCACTTGCCCTCTCCTGGTCCTCTTCTTACCTGTCTGACAGCTCTTTCTCAATCTTACTTGTTTTATTAACTGTGAATGTCTCCCACAATATGTCCTGGGCTGGCTACATACTTTCTTTCCTATGGATTCAGTGCAATGTCTGTGCAAATGATTCTTGGACGCACATTTCTAACTGCTTATTGG